TCTCCTTCTTGGCCCCGTGCAGGTACCCAAAGAGCTCCCGCTGGTTCGGCCCCTTCCGCAGCAAGCCGTCGGGCTGCCGGAGCCCCCGCGAGCCGCCCAGCGGGGCCCGCAGCTCCAGGGGGGACAGATCCTGCTTCTCCACCAGGCTGCCCACGCTGCCCATGCTGCCAGCGACGCCGACGGGCTCCGAGGACAGGTAGGTGCCGAGGACACGGGTGTCGGGCTCACAGGTCACAGGACCCTGTGCTGCTGCCATGGAGAACTAGAGAAAAGCCCAGAACCAGCACTGCCGAGGAAGAGAGAGAGTCAGCGATGCCGGGCAGCCGGGACACACCCCCGGCACCCCTTTCCCAGCCAGCCCCAAGGGAGGGCTCACACGGGCTCCTGGCACTGGGATGGCTCTGCCATCTCCCGTGCAGCTTCCCGGGGGACCGGGCCCAGCAGGCACGGGCGGGGGCTCCCCGCCGCTGCCCCCACCATGGTGCAGCGCCTCCTCCCACACCCAGCCCCACCTCCCGCCCGCGGCCGGGGCCGCCACCAGAACAGGCACCTGCCGCCCAGCCAGGCGGGCGAGTTCGGGAGCCGGCAGCACCTGCCCAGGCCTGGCGCCAGCCCCGGCCCGGCGGCACCCAACCTCCCCGCCGGGACCTCCGGCTCCGGACACCCTCTGGAGGCCTCCCCAAAATGCCCCTGGGGATGCCCGTCAGCCTGGCCTCCCCGGGACGGGCACCTCTGCTGTACCGCGGGGACGCTTCCCGAGCTCCACACGGCGCCGTCCCTCCCGGGGCATTCCCTCCCCAGGGCCGGGCAGGGACAGGCGGCCACAGCGCAGCTGCTGCGTGCGTGCCGGGGACCCCGCGGCCGGACATGGCGTGAGGGCGGCGGGAAGGGGCAGGATGCTGACGGGACAATGCGGCTTCCTGCGCAGGTGGCCGGGGGAGGAAGGATGAGAGCATGCCTTCGGCCTCGGTTCTGGCTCCCCAGCGCCAGGGAGGGGACGATGGCCTCACACCAGCGCCGGGGACACAGGGAGTGTGGCAGGGGCGAGGCAGAGCCCCCAGCACCGCTCCCAGCCTCGCCGAGGGCTCCGGGGCCGGGTTACACCCAGGAAGCTGCCCTGGTTCTCAGCACCACGCGCCGGGTAAACAAACACCCCGCTTTTAATTGCTGCCACGCACAAACCTGTCTGACAGCTCCCGGCCTGCGCTGTCACCTCCCTCTGCGAGCCCAACACCTGCTCCGGGCACCGGCACCCCACGAAGGGCACCGGGCACGGACCCTCTGGAAGGATCGGGGCCGCCCGCGGTGCCAGGGCGTGCACGGGGACAGGGCACGGGATGTTCCCGTGGTGGGGGGCGCGGATGGTGCCCATCCACCCCCGGCACTGGGGAGCAGCTCGGCCGAGCCCCGCAGCGGCTCCTCCCGGCACAGGCGGCCGAGGAAGTAGGTCAGGTTGTGGGAGGTTTGGGAAACGCCGGGGGAGCCCGAAGGTGTCCTGCCTGCGGCAGGGAGGGGATCACCCTCCAGGCGGCAAAACACCGGTCCGGCCAGCCTGGCTCCTTCGCGATCTGCTCCCAACCCCAGCCGTGCCCAGGCAGGATACGGCCACAAACCTTCTCCCTTTCCCATCCCCATTCCACCCGGGAGCGAACGGCGGGGTGGCAGGGAGGCGGGCGCGGGTCCCGCGCGGCCCCCGCCGCGCCTCCCGCAGCCCCGCCGGAATTTCCGGCACGGAGAGGGCGGAGGGGGCAGTGGGTGCCCGGGCCGAGCCCGGGACAAAGCCCCGCTGGCCGCAGCGCGGCGGGGGAGGGGGAAGGGGCGGCCGGGCCCGCACTCACCATGCCGGCGGCGCTGCGGTCCCGCACGGCTCCGCTCCGCTCCCGCTCCTTCCCTCGCCGCGTTTGAACGCGCCCCTCGGCCGCGGCCGCGCGGGGCGGCGGGCGGAGCCGGCACCGGCAAATCGCGGCGCGGGGGCGGCGGGACGGGAGGGGCGGGAAGCAGCAGCAGCAGCAGCAGGAGGTGGAGGAGGAGGAGGAGGAAGGAGGAAGGAGGGGGACGGCCCGGCCGTGCCCACCAGCGGGGCGGGGCAGGGCGCGCTGGCTGCGGGCGGTGCCGGCACTGGAGCGGAACCCCAACCCCCAAGTGGCGGGGAGAGCCCGCAAATCCCCCCAGCTACAGCTCCGGCAGCACCGGCAGCACCGGCGCCGCTCGGCTCCCGGTAACCACCTGACAGTATTCCCGGTATCGCCCACCAAGGGTGGAGAGAAATATTTTGCTTCGTACCTGCGGCGTGGAGAGGGGTCTCGACTCCACGGGACACTCTCTGTGCTTTCCTCTAGCAGGGCAACCCCTTGTACCCCACTCACAGCACCCGCGGGTGGGCAGGAGCATCACAAAGCCCGGGGACACGGCGTACCCCCGTGGGACACTCGCCTGGCCTGGCGCCAGTGAGACGGAACACGCTTCATCCCTCTGAATCACATCCTGGCCTGGAGCCGGTTTTGGCAGCCGCAGGGAGCGAGGATCCCGGCATGGGGTGGACCTGGTCACCGGTGGGAGCAGGACACCTGCAGCAGCGCTGCTCCGTCCCACGGCGCGGTGCCCGGCTCTGTCCCGGGCAGGGACCGCGCCGTCCCCAGCGCTCGCTGCCAGCTCCCTCCGCCGCACAGCCGCGTCCCCAAGCTGTGCTGCCAGTGCTCTCCCACACACACACACTGTCCCCGGTCCCTGCTCGCCGGGCTCACATGCTGGCGGTGTCCTCGGTGCGCTGCCAAGGCACGCTCCGCTCCCTCGGGGCTCAGCCCCCGTTCTCCTGTGCCCAGCGGCACCAGCAGGCTTGGCCTCTGAACAAGGCAGCCCTTCCCAACGGTGCCATGTGCCATCCTGCTGGCCTCGGGAATGTGTCTGCCGTGTCCTGGCCCTCTGTATCTCAGTCGGGAAAAGCCCCCCGCATCCCGCGGGGCTCGGCTCGGGCGGGCTGCAGGGGTGCCGGGGGGCTCACGGGGTGCTGGTCACTGCTGCACCCCTCCTGTCTGCCCCGATCCCTGCTCCTCCTCGGGCTGCGTGCCCCGAGCACATCTGCCTGGATAGCAGCTTCCACAGGGCCCTTGGCCCTGCCCGGGTCACTCCAGCAGCCAGGGATGTCACCGTCTCCAGGCAGAGATCCTTCAGCTTCCTCTGACTTTTTCCCTCATCCCCTCTCTCTGCTCACCTCACCCCGCAGTGCTCCCCTTTAAGATACCACAGCAATTTCACGAGTCCACCAGCAAACAGCTCTGGAACAATCCACTTCATAACAACCTGGCAATAAAAGCCAAGGATTGCTGTACCTGCTTCAACAGTAGCCGGGACCCCAGAACGGGGGTCACAGAGGGGCAGGGCTGGGCCTGCAGGGCCCCTCTCTGCCCCTGAGCATCCTGATGTTCTCCTCAGGCTTGCTGAGAAGATGAGAACGCCGGGAGGCTTTTGGCTCGGCTCTGCAGGGCTCCTGGGACAGCAGGCAGGGTGTGATCCATCTGTGGAAAGGCAACGGGGGAAAACTTCATCCCCTCCCGCTGGGCCATTGCCGGTACCAAAGCGTGTGGGGGGAGCAGAGCCGAGCGACCTCCGAGTCACATTCAGGGCTATAAAAGGAAGCCGGGTCTCCAGCAGGGTGCCTCTTCCACAAAAGCAACCGGGGGATGAGGGGGCTGCGAGCAGAGCTGAGAAATAGCTGCCAGGCAGCGGGAGAGGAGCCTGGAGCGCTGAGCGAAGTGCGAGGTGCACATATGCTCTCTGTTTCTGCACAGAAACGTCTTTATGAAACCTGCCCCAAATTGTGTCATCTATTTTGAACGGCTCAGAGAAATGCTTTGATCTGCCTCCACCAGCCCTGGCTGTGGTTCAGGCACCGGGAAGGGGCTGCCATGCAGATGGCTGATCCCAAACCCGTGCCATGGAGAGGCAGGAGTGGGGCTGCTGGGCCAGTATTTTCCTCTCACTGCCCACAGCAAGGGCTTGACTGGTCCTGGGAGCACCTGTGGAGAAGTGCACCAGCCGTCCAAGCTCACCAGCACCTTCATGGCAGATACCAGTGCTGCTTTGGAGCCACCAGGCTGGAGAGGCCATCGGGAGCTCTTGGACAGCACAGCCCCACATCCCCCGAGGCTGAGCCTGCTGCTTCCATGATGCAAAGCAGATCCTCACCACACTGCACCAGCACCCCAATCCCTGCCTCAGAGGGGGATCAGCCTATCTAAGGGCTCCAGACTCCTCTCCCAGCCCCAGAGCAGCACAGAAAGAAGGCACCAGATCCCTCCAGACACCCCACCCCACAGCCCCTACAGGGTTCATGAGCCCTGCACTTGGCTCCAATGCTTTTTTCCCCTCCCTCCCTCCCTCGCTCCCTCCTCTCTGGAGCTACTCGTCTTCCCAGGATGGCAACAGCTTCTCTCTGGAGATGCAAAGCAACCACTGCAGGAAGTGCCAGGCAGGAGACGAGGACAGAAGGGGCCAGGAAATGCAGAGGGCCTGGTGCCAGTGCTAGTGGTGGGGCTGAACACAGAGGCACTGGCTGTTCAGCTGGGCCTACCCAGCCCGAGGAGGCAGCAGCACCCACAACGTGTGCCAAGACCCCAGGGCAGACATCCGATTTTCCAACCCCCCCAGAAAGGCTGAGGCAGCACACGCCATGGAAGGCAAGCAAGGAAAGGAAAGCTCAGCCAGAGCTCTCCTCCTCACCCCAGAGAGGTCCTGGCCTTCAAGAGCTGACACCCAGCACTGCTGTGGATGCTGGGGCTCGGGCACGGCTCAACCACAACCACTTCCTGCACTGAAATGCCAACAGCCCAGCCCTGGGGGTACCTGGCAGCTGGAAGAGGCAGCATCTCCCTCAGAGCCCGTTTCAGACCGGCTTGGCTCTGGGGCAGAGCAGCTCAGAGCTCACCTGTCACACAGAGAGGAGCTGGGGCCAAGCCAGAGCAGGTGTGCTGAAGGAAGGTGAAGGGAACAGGAAAATGGAGTAGTGCCAGCACAGCACAGGGCATTCACAACTCACAGGTGCCCTGACAGTTCTTTATTGTCCTCTGAGCTGCGTGGCAGCTCAGCCATGTCCAGCACAGGAAAGCCACCTCCTGCACCTGCCCTGCGAGGCAGCACCAGCGCCTGCAGCCAGTCCCACTCTCAGCCTCTTCTGCTGCTCCCAGCAAAGTCCAGTTCTCAGCCTCTTCTGCTCCTCTGTGTCTCGCCAGCACTGCCATGCTCATCCGCTGCAAATCCCGCCTGCTCCAGGCAGCTGCACGGCAGCCAGGGAGCCCTGGCACCAGCACAGAGCACACGACTGGCACGCGGGGACGGGCTCAGCCAAACGTGCACCAGGGGGTCTCGTTTGTGTCGCAGTCCAGCAGGATGTTAAGGACGGTGCAAGGGGCTCCTGCCACGCTCAGATCTGTCCGTGACTCGACTCGGTACCTCACGTTGTTCAGGCCTCCCTCCCGATCCACCTTGAACTGCTCCTGCGGAAGAGAGAGACTGCTCGGCCCAGGCTGGAGGGGAGAAGCACCCTGGGCCTGGGGAGGGAGTGAGCTGGCACAGGAGGACACGAGCAAGGAGGGCTGAGAGCACGTGGTGACCACAACCCCAGTGCCCCGTGGCTCCCCCTGACCACAGGTCTCACCTGCTTCTGCGCAGCGATGCGCTTCTGGTCTCTCTTCCTCCAGGCTGGGTCATGCAGGTGCTGGAAAGTCTCGTATCCAGTTGTGATTCCAGAGGGACGACGAACCTGGGAGAAGAGCAGAGCTTCCATAAGGCTACTGGAAAACTCTTGCACCTGCTGCTGGAGCACAGAGCTGCCTTCCCCAGACCCCAGACTGGGTGGTCACAGTGAGAGACAGGTGAAGAGACGTAAAAAAGGGCAATTTCAAGGCAGGAGGGTGCAGAGACCCCTTACCTGGAGACCAGCTCCTTTGATACGCCGATAGAACTCATCGTCCTCCCGTCCCCAGCCCCAGAAGCGGTTAGACATGCCATTGCACTGGAACAAGAGCAGCACCATAGCAGCCAAGGTGGAGCACAACCCCACACCCTCAGAGGAGCAGACACCAGCCCAGCCTCCCCTGTCCTGCCCGCCAGCAGCTCAGACCACAGGCTCTGCCCCCAAACCACTCTGACTCCTGTCCCTACTTCCCAAGTTCACCACGACAATGTCACATCTCCTGCTCCGAACTGTGCAGGACATCCCACCCAGGAGCTCACCAACTCATAGTGCTGCTTGGTGAGCAGCAGGATGCCACCCACGTAGGTCTTGTAGTGGTAGAGCGGGTGCAGCTCGGGGGATGCCACGTGGAAGGGCCCTGCCTCTGGGAAGCTGTAGTCCAGGTGCTCGTTGAGGGGCAGGAGATCCACGTCGTGCATGGCGATGTAGTCGGTGTCGTTGCCGCTCTCCAGGAAGCCCACGTTGATCAGGGATGCCCTGTTAAACCTGCCACGGGACTGGGGGCTCTCAGTGCCACGCTGTCCCCACATCCCCTGCCACAATCGTCAATGCTCAATGTCTGACTGGTCCCCAAACAGGGACACATGCACACACAGCATTGCATCCTGCAGCTGCACCCCTGCACAGTGAGCTGGGGGAACAGCATTTCCAAACACCCCATGACTGTCTTTAACTTCCAGAGTCCCTGTATGTTTCCTGCTGTGGACATGACACCGGGGAGAAAGCTGAAATACCCGAGGATAAAGGATTCTGTGCTAAAATTCTATTCTTGCTAAGAAGCAAACCACCACTTTGTCCATCTCCAGGCTCTAGGATGAGCAGCTTTGGGGAGAGCATCACACCGACATCGCGCTGCCCTGACCCTCTGCTTCTCTGCAGCACCCTCCCAGCACTCACAGAGCTCGGGCAGGACCCCCTGGGCACAGGGAGACGCTCTACCTGAAGTGATCCACTTGGTTGAGGATGAAGATGCGGTGGCGGATCCTCTTCTTGCTGAGGAAGCGGTGCATGTAGGGCACGAAGGCCAGCAGCTCCTCGAAGCGCTCTCGGAAGGGCACCAGCAGTGCCAGCCGGTGCGGCCCCCATGACGGCTCCTCCTGGGGCGGCTGCGGCGGCGCGGGGGGCGGGCAGGGCTGCTGGGGAGCCCCCCGGGGCTGCCCGCCCGGCAACGGCCCCTCGCCCGAGCAGCTCAGCTGCAGCCAGAGCAGCGAAGCGAAGCCCAGCAGCAGCGCCAGCAGGAACAGCGGGAAGGCGGAGAGCCGGCCGGGGAAGAGCCGCAGGAGCGGCGGGGACCTGCGGGATGGAGCGGGGTCAGCGCACGGTGGGACCCCCGCACCGCGATAGCATCCCCCCCAAATCCCCCAGCCCCCGGTGCGACCACTGCCCCCCGATAGCATCCCCAAGGGCCGGGCCCATGGCGCCCGCCCGGCCCCCGGCCCCGGGACACGCTGGCTGCGCCCGCCGCTCCCCCGGAAACACGGCCCCGCTCTCTTCCGCCCAAGGGGCGGGACCGGCGGCCGGGGACATCCCGTCCTCCCTCCCGTCCCACCGGGGCTCCTCCGGAAAGCGCGGGGATACCTCACCACATCCCCGGTCACACACAGATCCTTTGGGATCCTCCCAGGATTGCTTCCTGCACGCCCTCCAAGATGAATCCCTATTCCCAGTTCCTCCAGCACTGCCCCTCCTCCCTCCCTTCTCTCCCCGTCAAACAGAGCCAGAGGCACGGGTGGTGTCAGTCCTTTAATGCCCCACTCGCAGCCCCCTCCCCTCAGCCCCTCATGTTCACACCTGCCCGAGGCAGCACAGCAAGTCCCAGCAAGGCGGGGGGAGCGCTGCAAAAACCGGGCAGCAACTCCAGGCTCCCCAGCAGAGCTCAGGGGAGCCAGCGGGCATCGGCCCCCTCAGTGCAACCCGCGGGAGGCCCAGGGCCGGGCAGGGGTTACAGCCAAACAGACAGGTAAGAAAATACTTCTGGTATTTCTCAGAAACAGCATTTAGAAACCACAGTTTTTTTTTACAGCTCCCCATAAAAAAGATGGGTTTGGGCACAGGTGCTCCACTAGTAGAAACGCTTGTTCCGTTCCTGGCGTTTCTGGAAGACCACGGCTCCCACCACGGCGCAGACAATGATGCCCAGCAGTGCACAGAGCAGCAGCAGGAACACCTTCCAGCCCGTCAGCGGCCCACTCCGGAAATTCCCCGTGGGGTCATCCACGTTGTCTGCAAGGGAAAGAACAGCCCCAGAGACCACTGTAAGCTCGGCTCCTGTGGAGTTCAGCCCGCTGTCACGCCTTCAGTGCCTCCTAGAGTCCTGCCCCGACCTCCCAATCCCCCACGGGAGGTTTCCAAACCCACGGGCTCACCTTTGGGGGATTTAAGGAGGCTGACCCTCGGCTCGATCTTGGTCCAGTCAACGGTCTCATCTTCTACAGGGTGCTCCACCATGAGCTGGAACAGCTTCATCGAGATAATGTCGTGATTGTCTGGGGAACAACCACGAGCAGCAACACTGTCAGAAGCTCTGAGATGTCCACACACTCAGAGCACCCCTCAGACCGTCCTCTGCCAGCTCCAGTCTCCTTCCCTCTCAAGCCACCCTCATCCCCAGGTATCAAACTGCAATCCAAAGATGTTCCTTAGCTCTCAGGTGTCTCCTTTCCCCAGCCATGGGTCCCAAAAGGGTTTCAAGAGCCCAGTAAACAATTCAGAGAAAGGAAGCAATGGAAACTATCCAGTGCATCCAATGTTTCAATCACAGAATCACATTTTTAGGGTTGGAAGGGACCTCTGGAAATCCAACTCCACTACCAAGACAGGATGACCTAATCCAGGCTCCGACCACCACGTGTTCCCCTGAGCAAAGCCCCTCTCACCAGAGAGATCTCCAGTGCCAGCAGAAGCACCAAAGAAGTACCCGGTTGGCAGCTGCACCCCTGCGATGTCGATGCAGTTCTTCCACTCATTCTTGTCTTCCACGTCAGTCATCACCTGCAAAACCACGAGAGGCTCACACCAGAAGCATGGGACAGGGCCCACCCTCCCTGCCCAACAGAGCCATCCCAAATCACACAGGTTGTGTCCAGATGATTCATTAGCATCTCCAGTGAGAGACATCCATACCCTCTCCAGACAACCACTTTGGCACTATCCTGCCTGGCTGCACCTCTTTTGGAGCTGGAGGTGCCAGAGAGGCAGTGGCTGAGCCTGTATGGTCGATGCTTTGTGTGAGGAGATGCGAATCTTGACTCCATGTTTCAGAAAGTTGATTATTATGATATATAGTATATTAAAATTATAAAATAAAACTATACTAAAAGAATAGAGAGAAAAGGATTCATCAGAAGGCTAGAAAGAACAAGAATGGAATGAATAACAAAGGCTCTTGACTTCTAGAGAGTCCGAGCCAGCTGTGATTAATTAGAAACAACATGCACAGATGCACCTGTAGATAAACAACATCCAGACTACATTTCACAGCCATCAGACAGTTAATTGTTTACATTTCTTTCCTGAGGCTTTTCACCTAGAATAAGAGAAAACCCCTAAAATTCATGAAGTATCAGGGCTGCGAGGCCGGAATCCCGTCTCACCGTCAGGCGGCCGCGCGAGTAGCGCACGGCCAGGAAGGTGTCGTGGTTCTGGTTGCGCAGCTCGGCCGAGCAGCCCGCCAGCTCCGTCCAGCGCCCGTCCTTGCTGTGCTCGTAGCTCAGCGAGCCGTTGTTCACCATGGCTGAGATGTAGGGGAACACACGCTGCGGGGACAGACAGGGGCTGTGGGAGCTGGGCAGGGTCAGCACGGGATGTGCACGGCTGCTGCTCCACCTAAAGCTGCTTCTGAACACAGCCAGAGCTGCCTAAAGCACGGCCACCCTTCCTGAGCCCCCATTTCAAGACCCCCATCCTGTGATTCTGTGATTCAACCCACCCTGTACCCCATGGCCAAGGCAATCAGGCTGTCCCACACCTGCAGAGTGGCTGGGTAAAAATCCCGGAATTATTTAGGTTGGAAAAGACCTCTGAGAGCATTCAGTCCAACCTGTGACCAATCCCCACCTTGTCAGATAGCCCTGAGCGCCACATCCACTTGTTCTTTGAACACAAGAAGTGTATAACAAGACCCAGAATGGACAGAAATCTACATAAGCAGCAAAACCACACACAAGGCTTTGTGATCAGTGGATTACCTCCACCAGGAGGGGACAACTGGAGGCAGGAATTCACCTCCCAAGAGCATCAAGACAACGGGGAGATGGGTCACTTCCAGGTGCTTCATGACTGAAGTATCATGGTTTTGATGGTACAGACCCCAAAGCACAGTTTTGTTTCCTGACTGTGCCATGAGATCCACAAACACAGAGCAGGACAGAAGAAAAGGATCCCCAGCCCTCACAGGACTGATGCATGGCCATGGGGAATTCTGGAGCAAAAAGGCAGCCTAGGAGTTTATTTCAGGCACACACAGGTTGCAAAGAGAAAATAAGGGCAGAAACATCATGGGATGAGTTTCCAAAGCACAGAGGTCAGGGAATGACACCCAGGATGAATGTTAGCAGCTGGTGCTGGGTTTACAGCAGCTCTGTGCCTGCTCTCCTGCACAGAGAAGACTTGGAAACATCTGTGCAGCCAAGAGCAGCACAAGAAAGAGCAAGGAGCTTCTTATCTCCATTAATGCACACAAACTCTTCTTTTTACCAACCCCCAGGACAGGAAGAGCAGACCGTGCCCAGCTAGGGAGAGACTTTTCCCTGGATCAGGTGAGAAGCACTTGGAGCAGGAAGGGAACTGGGCACTGCACAGGCTGCCTGGACCACTCACCTCTGTCGCCTCATCATTGGGATAGGTATCAAGGAAAATTGCCAGTCCATGGAAGTTATCCTTGCTGCCAAAGACAGGACCTGGAACAGGGCAGAGGAGCGGAGACAGGAAGAGACAGAAGGAGGTGAGAATCTGTGCTCAGGGAGTTCTGAGCTGTATGAGCAGCTGGCTGAGGGCACCTGCTGCCCGGGCAGAACACAGGGACACGTCAGCCCAGGGCAGTGAAGCAGAGCGGGGAGCTCAGCGCCTCCCGGGCCAGCCCCTGTGCTCGGGCCGGCCCGCACCCACCGGGCGTCAGGCGATCCTGCGTGTACCACAGCGCCAGCCCGTCCCCGTGCAGGTTCTTCTTGCCGGCTCCGTGGATCTTGAAGTGGACGTGCAGCTCCCAGTCCTTGAGGAAGCAGGGCTGTGGGAGAAACCCCGGCGGCGTCAGGCCGTGAGGCGCCGGGCCCGCCGCGGCCCCCGCCGCCCTGCCCCGGCTCTCACCACGCGGTTCCAGATGGAGCCCTCCCGGCTGCGCTCGTCGGGCGTCAGGCGGACGTACTGGCTGGTGACCATGGTGCTGCCCGTGAAGTCCCACAGCGGCATCGCGGCGGAGCCCGCGCCTGCCAAGGGCCGAACACAGCGCGAATCAGCCCGGGCCGCTCGCGGGGCGCCCCGAGCGTGCCCCCGGTCCCGCGCTCACCCTGGTACGGCTTCATCAGCGAGTGCTCCCGCTTCAGGTGCTCGCTGTTGCCATCCGTGAGCTCGGCGGGCGCCGGGCGCGGCCCGGCCAGGGCCAACAGCAGCGCGGCCGCCGCCACCAGCCCGCCCGCACCCGCCGCCATGCTCCGCTTCCGCCTTCCGGCGCCCCGCCCTCAGCCCCGCCTCACCGCCGCAGCAGCCAATGAGAAACTCGCATTCACTGTGGTCCCGCCCTTATGTGTGAGCGGCATCACTGCCCGCCTATGGCAGGGGAGAAGGGCGGGGCCAGCGAGGCGCGCAGCTCCCGTTGTGCGGCGGGAGGCGGGGCCGAGCGGCCTCCCGGCGTGCGTTCCGCGTGCGCGGCGGCGCGGGGCGTGCCGGGAGATGTAGTCCGCCGGCCTGCCGTGGGCCGCCTCACGTGCGAGGCTCGTGCCGCCCGCGGGGCACGTGACCCGCCCCGACGGGTCCCGGGAACGGGAACGGGAGCAATGGGCTCGGGAACGGCCCTGGTGTGGGCACGGGGAACGGCCTCGGGAGCAATGGGCTCGGGAACGGCCCTGGTGTGGGCACGGGGAACGGCCTCGGGAACAATGGGCCCAGGAACAGCCCCAGGATGAAACCCCAGGAACGGCCTTGGGAACGGGTCTGGCATGGGTCTGGGGAATGGCCTCAAGAACGGGTCCAGGATGGGCCCCGGGACAGGCTCAGGAAACAGCCTCAGGAACAATGGGCTCGGGAACGGGTCCAGGATGAGCCCCAGGAACGGCCTCGGGAGTGATGGCCTCGGGAACAGCCCCAGGATGGGCTCAGGGAACAGCCTCAGGGACAATGGGCTCGGGAACAACCCCGGTGTGGGCCCCGGGTGTGGGCCCTGGGAACAGCCTCGGGAACAACGGGCTCAGGAATGGGTCCGGGATGGGCTCGGGAACGGGTCCGAGATGGGCCCAGGAGCAGCCCCACGAGCAGCCCCAGGGCCCCGCCGCCCGCGCAGCAGGAAGGACAGGCCGAGGCAGCGCGGAGGTGACAGCCGCTTTATTGAGGGTGGCCGGGCAGCCCCCGCCCCGCTCCCGCAGGTCTGCCCCGTCCCTCCGCCACGGCAGCCGTGCTGGCCCGGGAGCGGAATCTCGCGGCCCTCCAGATGGACACCTGAGCCAGGCAACAGCAGCCCTGCCTGGGACACAGTGCGAGTGGTACCAGCCCAGGGGTACAGGGACCCCTCGGCGGCACAGAGCAGATCCCTCCAGTGGTGACTGCTCCTGTCCTCGTGCCTGTCCCGAGTCCTGTGCGCACGCGGGGACTCCTGTGCCCGGCTGGACGGAGGCTTTGCCGAGCAGCTGCCGCGGCTGGGGCAGCAGCAGCCGCATCCTGCGGGAGCACAGGGGCACACAGCCTGGCGGTGTGTGGGTCACAGCAGGCTCTGCAGGGTGTGACAGCAGCATGGAAGGACAAGTCCAGGGCAGGTTCTCATGCTGGAGGTGTGCACGCCCTCAGCACGGTGGGACGCCCACAAGTCCAGGGCAGGTTCTCATGCTGGAGGTGTGCACGCCCTCAGCACGGTGGGACACATGTCCCTCCAACAGCACAGGACTGCAGGGGAGTCGGGGGTGTGAGGAGCCCGTGGAAGCCCAGGAGGCAGGGAGAGGAGAAGCTGATTGATTAGTGAAGATTGGGTGGGAAAATCATCCGAACGTGGCAGTCTGAGGCTCAGGGCCCAGCCAAGGCTCGGGGACAGCTGAGGGACCAGGGGGGTTGGCCGTGGCGTAGGGACCTGCAGCTCAGTCCCGTCTGGCACTTTGCAGCTCTCACTTCTTCCTGTTCATGATCTGGCTGGAAATCCAGTTCATCCCATCCTGGAGGGAAGAAGGATGTGAGCGCAGGCCCTTGGGACAGCTCTGCCCTCTCCCAGCTCTGCAGAGCCCAGGGGCCCCCGTGTCTACCTGCACCCCTTCCCCAGACAGGGCCGAGCAGGCCTGGATCTGCCACTCCCGGTCCCGGTAGGTGTGCAGGCTCAGCCCTTCTGCGATTTCGGCCGCGGGCGCTGCAGTCACCAGGTCCTGCTTGTTGGCAAACACCAGCAGCGGGACCCCCGTGAGGGACTCGTCCTCCGTGAGCTCTGCCAGCTCCTGCCAAGACAGAAGCTTCTCCCAGGGCTGCTGTCCTCCTCCACGGAGCCAGCCAGCATGGGCTGGACACCTCAGCCCTGCAAATGCCTCATCCCTCCTCTCTGGTGCTCATGGCGGATAAGGAAGCTGTGAGGTCTTGACATTCCAAGGGGGAAAAGCTCCCAAAGGAGCTTCACCTCCTGGAGCTCCATCAGCCCCACGCAGGGCTACTTGAGGACTGAAATCCTCCCAGCACGGAGAGCCCTGGGCAAAGGGCAGCAGCTGCAGGAGGCTCCTGGCAGTCCCGAGCTGTCTGGCACACCCACACCACCGTCTGGTGCTGGAACAGCCGGGGCTGGCACTTGGAGTCTCACCTTCCCCTCTCAGAGCTTCATTCCCAGGCTTTGTAGCTGAATTTTCTACTCATAAACCTTTGTTTGGCTGTATCACTAGCGGGGTGCTGGGGGGTGGGATGAGGGCTGGGGACTGAGGGGTCACTTTCTCCAGGGACTGTCACCCCTGTGCTGGGCACCCTTGGAGCATCCCAGCTCAGGGGGAGCTGCTGGGCCATGGAGTGGGGCATCTTGATCTTGAGCCTTCCTGCAGATCACTGCCTCATAATTCAGAGCAGCTTTGCTTCCTCCTCATCCCCAAAGAGCTGGTGCCATACAGATCTGAGTCCCAGGACCCCACAGCCATCCCTCACCCACTCATACCTGCCCTGTCTCCTCGAAACGCTTCTGGTCAGCACTGTCAATGACGTAAATCTGCCGTGGGGACAAAAGGGACAGTCAGGGGCTCCTTGCCCGGCTGCACAGCCCTTCTGTGGGGCCCACACAGCATGCAAGGCCTGGGGGTGCTGCCCCGCTCACCAGCAGGTCTGTGCTGCCCAGGTACTTCTTCCAGTAGGGGCGGATGGAGCGCTGCCCGCCGATGTCCCAAACATTCAGCTTCAAACCGTGGGACTGGACGCTCTTGATGTTGAATCCCTGTGCAGGGACACAAACCCCAGCGTCACCCAGGGGATGGGTGGGACCTGCACCCTCTGCCCCGCCCGTGGCCCCCAGCAGCCCTACCTGTGTGGGGGTGATGGTGCTGACCTCCTCGGACGCCAGGCGCTTCAGCAGCGTCGTCTTGCCCGCGTTGTCCAGCCCCAGCAGGACGATGCGGAGCTCCTGCTCCGGGGATCCCTTCAGCTTCTGGATGACAGAGAGCAGCCCCTGGGGGCAGGGGGTGCTAGGGGAGCCCTCTGGGGTGCCGGGTTCCTTGTTTGGGAGGGGGGATCTGGGCACGCTGTTGGCTTTGGGTACTTTGTGTCTGTGGCCTGAGCCAGCATCAAGGCCCAGCTCCCAAGGTGTTCAGGCTCGGGGTGGCCCCACAGCAGATCTGCCCAGCCCCAATTCCCCCCTTCCCGGGCGTGCTGTCCCAGCCCTGGGACCACTCCCAGCTCCTGGGCATGCTGGAGGCGACATGCCCCCTGCTCTGCCAGCCCTCCTGGCACCACCCTGAGAGCTGGAGCTGCGCTCCCTCCGGAGCCGGTGGGGTGTCAGCGGACCCCGCTTACCTTCTGCACATCACCCATGGTCCGGGAGTGGCTCCGGCCCGCGGCACCGCCTGGGGAGCTGCGGGGGCTCGTCCCGGGGCCCGCCGGTGGGTTCGTGACTGGCACGCTCCCCGTCCCCGGGGGAGGAAGAGGATTACGGACTCCGGAATTAGCTGCTGTTCCTCCATTTACCCACAGCGTTAAATAATGCCCTCGGCAAATCCTCCAGCCAGCTGTCGCCCCGCCGTCGCCTACCCCCGGGATAAACCAGGTCCCCCCGGGCTGGGGCACTGGGGCACAGCACGTCCCTGTCCCCGTGGGGCAGGGGTCCCAGCCTGGGGGATGCCGTGCCAGGCACAGGGCTGGCACAGCCTCACACGCTGGGATACCTCACGCTGAGGCAACACCAGCACCCACAAGCAGGGTGGCAAAGAAATTGCTGAGCTTGCTTGAGGCCACGTCAGCGACTGCCACAACTCCCTGCTGCTGCCCGAGGGAAACCACCAGGCCCTGGAGCAGGTTGAGGGCTGGCTTGTCAGCAGCTGGAGCCTGGGGATGACACAGGACAGGCGTCCAGAGGGGCTCAGACACATTCTCCAGCAGCCCACCCCCAACCCAGGTGGGGTGAGGGGCTCATCTGTTCTCCCTTTGGATTAAGTGCATTAATTAGGCGATGTCTTTGATTCCTGCATGCTGCAGTTCCATCCTCAGATCAGGTTTCCCAGCAGAGAGGTTCTCCTTGTGGTGAGGACCGTGAGTCACGCACTCTTGGAGAGACATTTTTATTTATAACTCTGGTGGCAAAGCCACGCCAAAAAACACAGCCACACTCCGACAAAGCAGAGGGGAGCAGCATGATCAGCCCTCATCCCGCTGCTGCTCCATGCAGTGGCAGGGGGCAGAGGAGCAGCCAGAGGTGCCACCCTCTGTTCCCCCCACCCAGAGACCCTGCCAGGTCTGTGGCTGCCTGTGGTGCTCAGCTTTTTTGCCTGTTCATGGTGGGAAAGCTTCATTTTTTTCTGCATAGATCTGCACCCAAGTTAATGTTAGGGTTCTGCTTTTGATAGGTTAATCACCCACCTTACATCCCCGTTATTAGCATTTCCCTGAGCGGGTTGCCATGGTGCTCTGCGGTTTATCCTGCGCTGTTAGTTACTGAGATTTCCTAACAAATAACCAAAAATATCCTCCACTGGTTTGTGGTTGCTGATCAACATGGAACCCCGACCTTAGGAGATGGGCAAAACTGCTTAGGCATCAGTTTGGTGACTCCAAGCTGCACGTCCACTGCTCCTCTCTGCCAGGTTCTGCTGGCACGCACAGCACAGGCAGCTGTCCCCACACCCTCTGTGACCAGGACAAGTGGCACCAGGCTGGTGGCAGCGTGTGCTGGGCCTGCTGATGCTCCCCTGCACCCCCCTTCCCTGGGGTGATGTGATGGCCGGGAGGAGCCCCCTCCGGCTGTGGGGAGGGGGACAACGGGGCGGTGACCCCAGCCGTGCTGGGAATGCACACTGGGGTGGGTTTGGGAGCAGCGGTGCAGATGGGGATGTGGTCACGGGTGTGGATGGGGCTGGAAACAAGGATGCAGATGGAGACGGGATCACGGATGCAGATGGGGAATGAATGGGACGGGAAACAGGGATGCAGCTGGGAACGGGATAACGGATGTGGATGCAGACGGGGACAGGGACGGAGCCGCGGCGGCGCCGGCCCGGGGCTGCAGCCGGTGTCCGCCGGGGCGGTGCCGGCGGCGGCCCCGCTCCCCCCGCTGCGGTCTCGGTTCCCATGGTGACACTTCCTGTGGCAGCCGAAAGCGGTAGTGCGGTGGTGCCGGGAGCGCCGGGCCGGGCCGGGCCGGGAGAGCCGCGCCGCCGCCCGGGGATGCTGCGGGGCCGCGGGCCGCGCCCCTAGCGCGCCGGGCCGGGCCGGGCCGGGCCGAGCCAGGCATGCAGGGCAAGGGCAAGCTGCTGGTGGTGCACAACGGGCGCATGGTGAGTGCCCGGAGCGCCGGTCCCACCCGCGGGGCTGCCCCGGCGGCGGCGCGGCGGGGACTCGGTACCGGGTGAGGGGCGGGCAGGGGGCGCGGAGCGGATAACCCTGGGATGTGTGGGGTCAGGAACCGGGCAGCTGGGAGGGTGTGCGGTTCTGGGCAGGCAGGGCGGGATGGGTGTCCAGAGCAGCGGAGCTGTAGGGGGTTTAGGGCAGGCAGCGGGGTCTGGGTAAAACAGGCACGCGTGGGGCCGGGTGTGAGCAGCGGGGGTTTGTGGGCTCGGGCAGCGTTGTAGGGACGTGTGTGGCACTGGGTGATGGGGTCACAGGAGCCAGGACACCCCGCTGGTGTCTGCGGGGCTGTGTGGGTGTGGGCAGCATGGATGCACGGGGAGCCGGCAGGACAGAGGGACGTGGGGCTGGGGGAAGAGACACGGCAGAGGAATGTGGGGTGGGAAGCAGGGAAAGGCAGGGATGGGATAGCAGGCCGGGGATGGAGGGAGTCGGGAGCTGTGTGGGGCTGGCAGGCTGGGGGGCACGGGGCGGCTGGGCCAGGGGCACTGCTCGAATTTGGGCACCACTCGAATTTGGGCACCACTTCAGTGTGATGAGACATGCAGTGAGTGCGTGGCTGGGCTTTGGCTTCAGAGGCTCTGCCCATCTCCCTGCTTGGCTACTCCATCCCCAGGGCTGCTGTCTGGGGTGCCCAGCGGGTGCTGCAGGACACCCTGTCCTGCTGTGCCCATGGCTGGCACCACCTGGTCCCTGCCTTTGGGCATCTGCCCTCCGGTAGCTCCAGGCTCCTCCATCAGCAGGCCCAAGCAGTTTGCCTGCTTGGGGCTGTGGTTGTCCTTCTTCCTTCCCTCCCCTCCTCCCCTCCTCTTCCTGTGCCGTGGAGGCTGCTTCTCTCCTCCCTTGTTTGGGTGGCAGGGTTACATCTGATAGCAGCTGCCCTTTCCCTGGGCTGGGCTGGCCCTAGGCCATGGAGAGGTAGGAGAAAGGCTGTACCCCCTGGGTAACTCTCTCCTCACTGCCCTGGGTTGGAAATGCTGCCACAGGGCAGGTAGCACCAGAGCAGTGTTTGCTGACAGGGTCTCTTGCTCTGGGCTCAGCCTGGGCTTGCCCTGGTGCTGCTGCCACTCCACCAGCCCAGCAGGTGCCATGTAGCCCCTCTCACCTCTCTGCTTTCCACTCCCACAGGGCCCGGCCGTGTCGGATGGAGGTAAGGCTGCTCTTTGCCCTGGGACAGGAGGCCAGCATCATCTCCAGGGGAGGGGGAAGCCCACAGGCAGCCTGGTGCCAGGGGCAGGGAGCCAGCAGGCAGCGAGGCCCTGTGCCAGCACAGGCTGTGCCATGGCTGGGTGCAGGGCTGAGCCCTCTGCCCAGCACTGTCCATGTCCCCCCACCCCTCCCACATGGCCCCCGGTGCCTGCCCCTCCTTTTGGCTGCTCAGCTGGCACTTCGGGGTGCTGGGGACTGAGTGCCTTCCTGGGACAAGGAGAACTTGGGTACCAGCCAGCCTCAGGTTCTCTGGGGGAGTCTGTCTGTCTGTCTGTCTGTTGGTCTGACTGTGCACTGGATATCTCAGATGGTTTATTCAACTGTCTTGGCCCCAGTTACTCATGGTTTACACCACAGGAGGATAAGTACGGGGAGCCTGGCCAAGGAGCAGCCTGACACACCTCCTCTGTTCCTGCCAGCTTTGCCAGGAGAGCACTGCTTCCGTACCCTTACCTTCTCTTGCAAATGACCCCCTGCTTCCAGCTGCACACCAGTCAAACCAGTTCCAAAGCTGGGGTAGCCCCTGGGAACTTCCATCTTTCTGAACACATGGTCACCCTGGGTTTCCCCGAGGTGGGGTTTCCTCAGGGTTGGGAGCTGGAAATGACATTTTCTGTGCCCTCCACATGCTGGGTTTGTCCCTCCTCTTGGCCAGAGGAATAGAGAAAGTGGGTTCAGGCACCTCTGCCCATCTTCCAAGCTTCCCTCCACTCTGTGTGCCCTCTGTGTCCCCTTCCACTCCACTTTCCCTGCTCGCTGGGTGCCCTCCCCATGGCTGTCTTACCCCAGGAGATGGGTCACAGGTGGAGTCACAGTGACCCCCGGGGTGGGCACAACTGCCAGCACTGGCAGGGAGAGCTGTCATGCCAGCAAGTGCCAGCTGCAGCATCCTGGTGCTCAATCCTCCAAGGATACCACCGTGATGCTCCTCATGTTCCCCACCCACCTCTCACCGGGTCTCATCCAGATGGGGCTGTTGGCACTGGGGGGTGACATTAGGGGACAGAGAGACAGCCAGACCTGACCCCTTTTCTCTCTCAGAGTTAAATGCCTCCCGGGCCCGTGGCAGCAACCACAGTGTGAACAGCCTGCCAGGCCCAGCAGCCACGTGTGGATCCAGCCAGGGCTCTGTGGTCAGCTGGGCTGAATCCTTCGAGACGCTGCTGCAGGACCGTGTGGCTGTCACCTACTTCACTGTGAGTGTCACAGCCCAGAGCTCAGCCCCTGCCCCTGTCCAACTCTTGGACACTGATTGTCCCACAGGCACAGTGCCACCAGCAGCAGCTCTCTCTGCCCTGCAGGAGTTCCTCAAGAAGGAGTTCAGTGCTGAAAATGTCTACTTTTGGCAGGCATGTGAGCGCTTCCAGCAGATCCCGGCCAGTGACACGCAGCAGGTACCAGCTCTGGGCAGCTTTGCTCGCAGCTGCTGGGAGGGATGTGGGCAGAGCTGTCCAGCTGCATGTCCAGGGGTCCTGGCAGACCCCTTTCCTGGGGGGCTGAGCAGGCTGGGGGCTCTTGCAGAAGGAATAAGGAGATGGACGTGATGTGTATCTGCAAAGCCATGGCTGGGATGCCTGCCCCACAGAGCAGGATGTGCTCCCTGCTCCCCCAGCCTGGGACTGCCACAGGGTGTTTCTGGGGGGACAGACAAGACCAAGGGCAGAGCTAGACAGGGAATGATGGGGACAGAGCCAGGTGGCTGCAGGGGATGGTTCCTCCCTCAGGCTGTACCCCTGTGGAGACACTGGTGTGCTGTGCCCAGAGCTTGGTCCTGAAGTCCAGGTGCTGAGCTGGCCCCAGGGCAGGTTGGTTCTTCAGGGCTCAGGTGTCTCTGTGGGGTGAGCAGGGGGCTCCCCTGGTGTGGTATAGAGGAGGGGGTTGCTGGTCCCAGCCTGGCCTCCTGTCCCCTCAGCTGGCCCAGGAGGCACGGCGGATCTATGATGAGTTCCTCTCCAGCCACTCGGTCAGTCCTGTGAACATTGACAAGCAGGCCTGGATTGGGGAGGACATGCTGGCCACCCCCTCCCCAGACATGTTTCGCATCCAGCAGCTCCAGGTATGGCAGCACCTGAGCCCCACCCACAGGATGGGGGCTGTGGGACCACCCCACATGTCACCCAGCATCACTGCTGTCACCGTGGGGCAGTGGCCAGAGCCTGGAGGTGTGCAGGGGTCTTAAGCACACACATCCTCCCTTTCCAGATCTTCAACCTGATGAAGTTTGACAGCTACACACGTTTTGTGAAGTCCCCCCTGTACCAGGCCTGCCTGCAGGCAGAGAGCCAGGGCCAGCCCCTGCCTGACCTGCGGCCCCACTCCCGCAGCAGCAGCCCCCCTCCTGACCTCAGCAAGGTGAGTGAGGGGGAAAGGGCAATGGGGACATGCCCCCGTGGTCCCTTCCCTGCTGCTCAACCCCAGGCTGGGGACAGACAAGCAGTGAGGGGACCAGGGAGAGGGAAGGGAAAACCTGAGTTGTTGTCATGCTGAGATGCTGCTCAATTCACCCCAGAAGACGAAGCTGAAGCTGGGCAAGTCGCTGCCCCTGGGCGTGGAGACAGCGGGCAGCGGTGCCAGCCGCAGCCTTCAGCGCTCCTTCAGGAAGGGAGAGCGGCGGGAGCCGTCCTGGGCAGGTGGGTGCCCTGCTGAGCAGGACAGAGGGGCCACGCCACCCTGAGGGGTGTTCACGTCCCCACCACCGTCCCTCTGTCTGTCCTAGAGGGGGGAGAAGGCAGCAGGAGCGCCATGCT